TCAAATAAAAAATTCCTTCTCGTCATCTGAAGAAGGATATATCTATCTATCAAATAAAAATAACCGCAGTTTAATAGAATAAACTATAGTGAAGAAAAATTTGTTCAGAGATTGATATTTTGCAAAAAACTCGGTTTTGAGAAAAATGAAGATGACGAAAGTGATGGTTATTTATATAGTATTATGTCGAGCGATGAAGACGCATACGAACCAGGTGATGATGATTTAGATTGAACTTTTATCTGCTTTTTATCGTGTTTGTTTTGAAATAAAATGAATATATAATGAAAAAAATCAACTAGTCATTTTTTTTGGATCTATACAAGTAATAATAGTTCCAACTAACTTAAGTTTTTTTACAAAAATCCCACAAAAAACTTATAGATTCAATAATATCTTTACGGATTTGTAAAGTAGACAACTCAAGCATCATGCCCATGTGTTTATCTCAAAATCCATTTTTTTGACGAAAATCGACTCTTTGGAGGGGGGGGGGGGAAGCCTTAACAAATTTTAAAGCAAGACTTAGTCATAGTCCAACACCAGAACGTGAAACTATTCGAAAAACAATAAATAAAAAACCTGAAGAAATTATTCAACCAGAAACAAGAATTATTCCACCACCACGTTTAAGAACATCATCATCACCATCATATCGTTCATCTAGTCGTTCAAGATCTACATCAACAGAATCAATGTAATGAATAAAAATTAGAATTTTTTTTTTTTGTTATTATCATCAATTTCATTTATTTAGACGATCGACTGAAAAACCTTATCAGGATTTAGATGCATTAGATGATATTGATAATTCAAAAACTCGTGATATACTTTCATCTCGACCAACAACATCTTATCGTGATCTAACTGATGATCATTCATTATCATCATCATCATCTCCACCACCATTATCTAATCAAATTCCATTATCAAATCTATCTTTAAATGAACCAAAAATATTCGATGAAAATATTGAAGAAGAACAAGAAAATAATACGAGTTCAAAAGAAACATTTTATAATCAAATTATTCCATATCCTATTGTTAATAACTGTGAAAGTACACATAGAAATTTCCTAATGAAAAATAACTAATTAATATTCAATATTGAAAAAAATTTCAATGTATTTTAATAGCACTCATATACTCAATTATTCACCGATTACTTTCTACTGCTGCTCCTAGTGCATTTATTTTTTAATGGATTTCATGTGCTACTAATTTGTCGCCTTATAATAGCAAATGGAAAGGGAGACTAAAATACAAATAATCGTAATTGTGTAACTAGGGGTAACAAACGTTAAACTTTAATTGCTTAAAATTATTTC